GTTGGAATGAAATAAAACCCTTCAAGAAAAATCACCTTGGTTGTAGCTCTGATATCAATACATTTACTGAACAAGATGGGTTTGATTGCCTCTCTTTTTATCTCAAATTATGTGGTGTAGAGTTCCACATTACATGTCCCATGTACTAGCCAGGTCAAGAACTACATTATATTCATTTGTTTAAACTTACCAGATATGTTTTAATTAGTAAATACCAGAGGCATTACAGTTAAAGCAGATTGATTTTTTTAGCTAGAGGAATTTAACTTAAAACCTTTTCCTGCCTCCACATGTATTTTTAATTAAGATAAGATCATTTTATTGGCCATATACAATTTCTTGTATTAGGAATTATTGCACACCCCAACCATGAGACACACAGACAGGGAGAGAAGCTTGGGGTCAGAGCAACTCTGGACCAGTTGGGGTGAAGGGCCTTGCTCAGGGGCCCAACAGAGCAGGATTCCTCTGCCGGCCGCGGGATAAAAACCAGCAACCTTCCAGCCACAGGCACAGATCCTTAGCCACAGAGCCACCACATCACGGTGTTAAAGCATACTCACAATCATAATCAATTTCTCATCATAACAGACATTATTATAGCTACAGCCTGTAAATTTTCTCCCTTTGTCCATTGCTTTTTTTTAGCCATTTCATACAATTCAGGTTAAGGGGGAGTTGTAGCCTATCCTGGCAAGAAATGGGCACAAGGCAGGGCATATCCGGGATGGGACACCTGTCCAAAACAGCATACTGTACAGTACATCTTATTCTTAATTTTGAAATGTGACATTTTGGTTGTTGGCTGGTAAACCCCAGTACTGCCTGAGAAGGATAAGGTCTTGTGTGAAGACTCCTCCAGCCTGCTTGCCTGTCACATCCATTTGTCATTTGACATGCTGGGAGCTTCATAGTCCTTCACAGGAGAGTGAGCACCAATCAGTGAAACGGCGCATCTCCTTGATGTCAGCGTAAGCTTTCAGGCATCTAGTCAAGGAGGCACAAACACTAGCTAGGTAGCTTAGACATTATGCAGGGCCTGACGTACATGTGGTGGAGCAGAGAGTGGAGCAGTTTCTTATAGTATATCTTTGAGTTTCACTGAAACATTTCCAGATCTTCTACAGACCTTACAGAAAGTATGTGAAATTGGGATGTGACAGGCAAATCAATGAAGAGTCTGCAATAACAGTTGACCTGCGACTAGAGGTTGTCAAGGCCTCTGTCATTTGTAAATAGTTTTGCCCAGTATCAATCAATGATATTACTGATGAGGGGTAGATTACACATGATCAAATGGGTGTTAAATAGTAATGTGTTTGGGTGTATAAAGGGGTGTTACTGTAATGTTGGTGGTTAGGTTTTACTGTACATAGCAGTCTGCGGGGACAGCTTGAGTTCTGTAGCACTAGAGAAGGGAGTCTCTTTAGAGTCTTTTGAGTGTAAGGTTTCCTTTTATCTCCACAATAAAGCCCTCTACATATAGTGACAATTTACTGAGTTTTATTGTTTTTAGTTTCCTGGAGCCACTGTACTAACCTGGTATTTCATGTACTTTCTTAAATATTAGGTATCATGTTAATTTACAGGCTAACTATTAATAGATGTCATGGAATACCTGATTTCACATTATTATTGTCGGATGTGTGTGTGAGCTGAGTAGGTGCTCCTCTTCCTCTACATTTACTGTTTGTTGACCAATGAAAACTGATGGCATGACATTAATACCCAACTTTAGTCTTTGTTCTGTCCTTTTAATTCCGTTCCCATCCTTTTTTTCAGTGTTTCTATAAAACATACTGCTGATCACAACATTGCCACTTCCAGTAGAGAATTATTTTCAGGTGAGACCCTTAGTTTTCTGAGTTTATTTTTTGTCAAAATGTCTTTTGTGCCGTACGCATTCCCTAATTCATTCCCATATGCATTTCTACACCACAGTTTACAGATTGATTACCCTTTTTGCAGCTCATATTTGAAGAAAAATATCAGCTATAAGATAAGAAACTAATTTACATCAAAACTAATCTTTAAAAAGTTTGAAAATGACAAGAATTGCTTTGTTAAAATGTTGTAATAATTTCATTAACACCTCAGTTGGTGGCTGCTTTTTTTCTGCACTTCACCTATGGAGTAAAAATAATCAAACCTACAGTAACTCCAATGACTAGGTGTGTTTTAGGATTAAATCAAGAAACTCTATCAGCTCAAAATCTAATGAAAAACTGAATAGATCCAGTAAAAAGCGAAAACCTAAACTGAAAGGCTTTATCTTTAAATGAGTTGTACTTCAAATAATCAAGTGTACCGTTGACAGTAAATCAATGTTAATTTCACCCTTTTGTTTGTTGCATTTTTTATGAAAAATCTTTATTAGACTGGCATCCTGTTGACGATATAGTCCCGCCTTCCACCCTTCCTCTGACAGGTTTGGCTCCAACTCCCAATAACCCTTTATTAGGTCCACTATTACAAAACCTAAAGGGGTCATTTCACATTTTTTCTCCAGGGATAAATCCAACTCCACTTTTTATTGCCACATAAATTCTGTTCAAATCATATTTGCCATCTTACAACTTGCATACTTACTTTCAGTAAAAAGTGCAAGACTTTTTGCAAATGGTTCAACTGCCAAAAGGTGAACAGCTGTCATGGCCAATCTCAGCAGCTCGTGGTTTTATGGTGAACCTTGGAAAAGCTGCAAACACAGTGTTGTTCTAAAAAGCTGGATTTAATAAATTTTACCTGTCTTAAACATCACCATTTCCTGATAAAGCCCTTAATAAAAGTTGCCATCTGGGCCAATAATCCAGAGACACTTTAAGAAAAGATTGATTTCTGTGTCCCAGAAACCAAATAAACTTATGTATAAACATACAGTAGAGGCTGAAAGTTGCAATAAATTGCTTAATTTTAAATTAGTTTATGACAAATATTTTTATATGTTAACCTCACAATTTCTGAAGGTATTTAAAATAAACTCAGTTATCTGGCAGTACTGATGGCAGAGTTGGAGTAATGAAGCACAATTTCTTTTAAATCTGCACTGTGACCTTTTTCACTTTTTCACACCAACAGTTGACTTGCTCTCCACCAGCCAGTACAAAAGTGTGTTTATAAGGCAAATTATGCTATGACCAGTAAGTAGTGTACTGTATATATAAAATGTTACCTACCACCGGTATTGTACTAATCACATGACACAATGTCATTGACTGTCATGCACCCTGTCAGAAAGTGCCACACTGGCTTACAGTAAGTAAGTACAGTATAGGCAGTGATACCATTGTAAAATTTTATTTGTGGTGAACACTGACTGACAAGAGCGTAGATATCAAAATAATAATAATAATTGCTAACACGTATATAGCGCTTTTCTGGACACTCCACTCAAAGTGCTTTACAGGTAATGGGGACTCTCCTCCACCACTACCAATGTGCAGCAATCACCTGGATGATGCGACGGCAGCTATCAGTGGGGAGGAAAGCCAATTCATAGATGGGGATTATTAGGAGGCCATGACTGGTAAAGGCCAATGGAAAATTTGGCTAGGACGCCGGGGCTACACCCCTACTCTTTTTGAGAAACACCCTGGGATTTTTAATGACCACAGAGAGTCAGGACCTCGGTTTTACGTCTCATCCGGAGGACGGCACCTGTTTACAGTATAGTGTCCCCGTCACCATACTGGGGCATTAGGACCCACATGGACCGCAGGGTGAGCACCCCCTGCTGGCCCCGCTAACACCTCTTCCAGCAGCAACCTTAGTTTTTCCCAGGAAGGCTCCCATCCAGGTACTGACCCGGCTCACACCTGCTTAGCTTCAGTGGGCTGACAGTTGTGAGTTGCAGGGTGTTATGACTGCTAGCAAAATCATAGACAAGAAATGCTGTTCTTACAATATCGACAGACTGCCTGACAGACCTCATGATTAGTCAAGCACTTAATGCGCCGGCATGGTAGCGCAGCAGTTACTGTAACATTGCCTCCTTGTGGCACTGGAGCCCTGGGTTCATTTCTAGGCCTGTGGTACTACAGTATCTGTTTAGAATTGGTTGGTCTCTCCATGTTTGCATGGGTTTCCTCTAGGTTCTCCGGTTTCCACCCACAGTCCAGTCTGGCTCCTCTGTGACCCTGAATATCCAAAAGTGATTTATTCCTCAAGAGCAAATGCTCTGCAATTATCTACAAATCCAGGTTTAATCGAGAGGGATAAGATTTCACTCAACACGGTCACAATGGACATGTTGCTGCTCAGAAACCTTTTCTGAGGGGAGGAAACTAAACAAAAAGAATGAAAAGAAACTGAACAGCTGATCAGTTGATACCACTGATACTTTTTTAACTGTGAAAAACCACAGTTCCTATCCCTTCTCTGAAAGTTGTATGAATTTGAGAGCCAGCCCTCTAACAGTAGATGTGGGAGTATTTTCATCCAACTATTTTAACCCCCTTAATGTACAATAACTGATCAGAAGGATGTATTCAAGTAACTTGTGAAATCTGAGCCATGTAGTTTCCTGTTTCACTCACTGTTTGGGTTAAAAATCAGGACTCAAAATTCTTGAAGACAAAATGTGATAGATCCCCACATATTGCAAAAACTTTTGCATCAGATTTAATTTATGAAAGAAGGAAAGAATGCGGATGAAGAATGAAAGAAAGCACAATGCATTTTACATCAAAAGGTTACATTGAAACATATCCTCTTTCTCATGTTTGTGTTCTGAAACCTAACAATTGGTTGGTAAAAGTCTTAAATAACAGCGTATAGACCTTTGAACACTAGATATCAGAGTCTGAAAAGCATGCGCATCACCATTTTACTATAGGTATTTGTAGAAAAGCAGGGGTCTGAAACACAAGTGAATTCCCCAGGGCCGGGGTCATCTCATTTAGGAGAACCACATTCTTCGGATTCTCACAGGGAAATCACTGAATTGGCTGCACCTGGAGACTCAAGCTCCCTATAAAAGCAGTTGCTAGAACAGCTAGTGGTTGTTTTTCATGGACCCTTGTGGTTTAGTAAGAGGGTGAGTATTAAAAAGACAATTCAGAGTAACTTTTTGTTAAGTACTAAAGTCAGTGGGCTTATAGTAGGATAGAGCTGGTAGTGGCCTTGGTGGTTTTCTGGGTTGGGATGCTGGTAAAAAAAAGAATTAACCAAGAGGCTATTGCCACTGCTATCCAGGGAAGATAGTTGTGGTTCATATGGAGACCCCCTTGTCACTATTAAAGTTACACTCCCCTTGTAATAAGTAAACTTGGAGTGTAAAATCAAACAAAACTACTTGGAATTGCAATTTAGAACATGTAATTGTTCATTCTTTTCCTGTATTTTGAGGTGATTTACCTCATTCCTTTAAGTTACTGATACCAAGAGCAGATGGGTATGGGAGGAAATTTTGGTTCTGGAGAAAACAAGACTGGCTTATTTGTAAAAATGTGTAATGTCTAAATCTCCCCCCCCAAAAAAAAATCACAAATGTCTTTCCATGTAAAATTCAAATTCACAATCCCTGTACTCACAGTGAGAATGAAATGTAGATGGACTCCTACAACTCATTTTTCCATTTGTCATCAGATATGTTGCAAATTCTGCAGTGACGTGTAAGAGGGTTAATGCCAATTGAACTATAGGCTCTTCCATCAAGGATGTTGCAGCAAATGTGCAGGCTCAGCAAATTGCTAATAGTCAGTCAAGCCCTGGTTTGACAAAACTCTACTCTTGCAGGCAGGAGTAAATGCTTACCAGTGAGGATGGGAAGTAATTTTCAGACATTAACATTCCTACCCTTCATGAGTTAGAGGTCCATTGACAGACAGTTCCATGGTTACTGGTTTGAGATGCACAAGGTGAACAGTAAGCTCTCCTTTTAGCAGCTCTGTCTGCAGTGAGCTTACATGTGGAAATGTTGTAAATGCTTTTACAAATGACCCTAAAATTGCTTGCTGGTCTAAAAAACATTGCTTAGAGCTTCAGACCTACCATTACTAGGAGACAGGAGAGTTATGCATGTGGCAAAAAATATTTTCCTGGCTTAAGCTAAACTGTTCCTTGTGCTATCACAGCAGGGATACCTTAAATTGCTGCAAACGGCTGAGACAGGACTTTAATTCCCTTTTAATTTCCATGTATACATAATCTCTCCTTTTCCAGAGAACTATTGCAAATGGATCTCTAAACTGGACTGTAATCCTTTCGTATAAGAGCAATCTCTTACAGCATTTTCAGTAGCCTTACATAGGGCACATTTTTATCATGCACTGCAGGTCCAACACTGCTCAGTTGGCCGAGCTTATCACAAGTGCCAAAAATGAGGAGAAATTCAAACTCTTATTGGTTTGGTGATAAACGCAGAATTGCTTAGTGTGCCATTACTGACAAACTAGAGGTTTTCAAGCATATTAGGGTACTAAATTCTAAACTTGTCCAGTAACTAGGACTTAGCCTCTCTTCTAAAACTAAAAAAAAATAAATAAACTCTTAATTTCTGGTAAAAACTTTACTAAAGGTCACCTTCTAAAGATATTAATAAATTATCAGAAGGCTAGCTGTCATGGTGAAGTACACAATCTGGTGCCTAAGTCATAAGCATAGGTGCCAATTTTTGGGAAAACTAAATGGCTGCTCTTGTCTTGGTCCATTACAGGACCTCAGAAAAAAGAAAAAGTTAGACTCCTGTCTAGTCCAAAAAATTCCAAATTTTTATGTTTTCAGTTATAGTTTTGTCAGATCCTGGATTTTAAGTTTCTTTTCCACAAGAACTCAGCACTAACATCACCTCTGATGCATTTTATGTTCCACCCATACAAATTTAAAATATTTTTATGAATTTGCTTTAGGTTAAAGGACTGACATCTTAAATATGATGGGATCATCACTACCAGGATTCCTGATGGGGAACTCTTTTTCCTGTATATTCTGTGAACCTGATGCCCTGGTAATCATTTAACTTTCCTTCTTACCTGACAAAACTCTGGATATCTCCCTCACCAACGTTTCATTGAAAAATTAGTTACCTTAGGAGTGCTCAATGGCAGAAACCAGCTTCCTGGGTCTTCATCCAATCAGCTCAGCTCGGTCTTCCTGCAGTCTGTTTTAGTTTGCAA